CTTCATGAAAACGTCAGTTTTCATGAAAGTGAATCAACGCCAAATCTGTATATCATATACATAAATATACATACAATAAATGACTACGTTTTAAATTAATTCTGTTTTCTTTTATAAAAGATATCCTTTTTATATAAGTCAGTCAGTTGCAACGTAGAACTTCGTACGTAAGTACATCAGTTCATGTCGCCATACCACATCAGCAAAGAGATGTAATTGTCAACTCAAATCCAATAGTAGAAGAGTTAGTAAGGGTATTATAAGTAATCGGAGAGGTTAGGATGAGAAGATATTATTCAAGAAGTATGATTTAATGAGAAAAGTTTAGAAAGTCAAAACTAGAAGGGTTGAAGAATTCAGAAGATTAGGATTTGGGAGAACATAAAGAATAAATGCACCGGCGCCATTGCGAACGATTTTGAGCCATGTTATTCAAGGTCTCTAACCATCGATTATTATCATCTCGCGGACCCCAACCAGGTAGTCAACAATTACCGACATGGCTAAGTCCACTCGTCAATGACTTCATGGATTTATGCCATGTTTTGGTCTGGCCGCCCCTAGCTTTCTTACAACCTACTCCTACACTACAAAACGAAGCTCGACGAAGCAGTCGGTGGTTAGGCATACGCAACACATGTCCCAACCACCTCAAGTGATGAAGTGTCACTACTGCGTCTATTGATCTGCCTTCTTACTAAGAACCCGATTCCTAATAACAGCGTTGTCACTCGGTGTGTCCCACGATATACGAAGCAATGCTTCGAAGACACCTATGATCGAAAAAAATCAAGTAACCAACGAATAGTCTTCTACTCTCACTGGCCATGTCTTCACAGACAGTAAAGTAAGGACGGAGCGAACTACTTCGCAGTACACTCGTCCTTTAGTCAGCAAACGGGATATCTCGCCACGCCATAAGTGATGCAGGTTGGCAAAAGACCAATCGAGCCTTCTGTATCCGAGCTGAGATTTCGTCAGTCACCAGGCCATCGGCACGTGATAGAGACTCCCAAGAATAAGTGAGAGCGGTCTACACGTTCGACTACTTCACTCCCTATCACCAGTTCAGGTGATAGGGATATAATCGACAATTGGAATTCTCACTATTGTGTGGCTACGTATAAGTTTTTAGAAAAATACAGCCAAATAAACTTTTCACATTCCAATAATTTTTTTTAGATATCAAATACTATTTATTTCTTTTATTAAATTATTTACAATATTAACAAAACTGAATCATAGACAAAGAATTACAAAGTGAAATAATCAGCACTTTTTAATTTAAATGAGGGACAATACACAACAATATCGAATAAATAATAACCATGTATGAATGCTTTTTTGTATAAACAGTAATCAATGCTTTCTTATGTAATGCCGTATTATACTATAACTTACAAAGAGGTGAATGAAAATGAAGTGCTCACGTTACTGATTATTACTATATCCACCTCCTCTGCTATAACTTATTTAATGATAGATAGTAAATAGTTTGAATTCGCTTTATATTCTTCAGAATAGAGGTATATAAATATATATCAAAACAAACTTGATATATCATGGGTCATAATAGTTATTCTTGTTGGCAGTTTAGTGATCTACTGTATCAATATTGGGAATGGTAACTAAATGGTATCAGTCAGTAGTTATTTACAAAAAAAGGCAAGTGTTGGATGCGTATTGATGTTGCGATCTGGGTGTTTTGAGGAAAAGAAGACAGTCAAGAACATGCTTGTTTTGCGATTAAGTGTACACTTTTTTGGCTAATAGATTGAGTTTTCTGGTCTTCCGTCTTCTTTCATTCCATTCTGGGAGCCAAGCCACGCATATCCTAGGCAATCTTCTTCTCCATGTCTTCTATTCCTCAAAACGCCCAGATCGCGTCATCAATAGATATCCAACACCTCTCGTTTGGTCTTAACTTCAGGGCGATACTGTTGCACATCCACTGAATACCAGTTATAAATCCTACTGTGAGTAGTACACACTGGCATTAGTGTGCACTGGTGCAAGCAAAAAGAGATCAAACAGAGGAAAAAGTGGTATGTTAAATAAAAAACTGAAATTTAAACGTGAGAACCACAATCAAAACGAATGAAATGAGGTTGTTGATTAAAGAGCTAGACAAAAAACATTTAATTTTTGAAACCATGAATCGATCAATGTTAGACCACCATTAGAAACCTGGAAGCACTGAGAGACGGCCGTTTCGTCCTGGTATGGGACTCCTCAGCAGTGCGCATCCACGACTCCTGCACCCCGCAGGATTCGAACCCAGGACCTTCGGTATTGTGCGCGAACGCCCTAACCGTCAGACCACCGAGATGGTATCTAACGGTGTTAATGTCTAACTTGATCAAATTCACGGAGTTGAGCAACCTCATACACAGTCTTTGGTAGACACTGCCTACACCCGAACAGGTTGAACTTCACTGGTCACGTCTTCCCACTAAAACTCGGAGAATATTCCTCACGAAGCAAGTCACTAGTGAGCACAGGTAATTTGCATTACGGGGTTGTGAAGATTGTTAAGTTACACATTTTTGAAACCATGAATCGCTGATGAGTCCCATACCGGGAGGAAACGGCCGTCCAGTGCTTCCAGGTTAAGTTTGTGTCTAACATTGAATCCCTGATTTCATGCCGTGTTCAAAAATGTGTACTTAACATACTCTTCACAACCCCCGTAATGCAAAAAATAACTTAAGGTTCAAAGATTTCGAGTAAGACAATTAAACCACTATAACTGGAGTTTACACCATGCCAACCTATCGTCCTGCCAACCAAACTTAGTTGCATTCCTCATGTCGTTCTGAATGTAAACAGGAAAATAATATCCACACTTGATCGCATCGTTGTAAAATTAGAGCTATTTCTAACGACTTGATAAGTCCAGATTACGTGTATCTGTTGCACAAAGTCCAACATTATAGATTGGACTAAGATTTAATAGTAGATTTCAGTGATAAAGTGATCTCATCAATGCACCAACCATCCTCTCCTTAAAACAGAAATTTCCCACTTTTTATTATGCTATTTTTGTAGCTTCAGTAAATCTCAGAATTTTTCATAGTTATGGTAAAATGAATGTGTGAATTAACACACGCAACAGTCATTTAACGCTCAGAATAACCTTTCACGGGTGAACGTTAGTTACCAATAAATATGTCAGGCATAATCAACGTAGACCCTGACACAAAAAATGTCTTAGCTGAAGTTTTAAAAGCGCTATAGGAGCATTCAGATAAACTAACAAAGCGAACGGAATTATTGTAACATGATGATAGGTTACAAAATACTATATATTATTAAAATAGTTCAAAAAGACGGAATGAATAAAGAATTTAAGTCAGAATTATAAAGATCAATATCCACAAAAATAAGAAGAGAAATGGATTTGTAGGCTAACGTGGTCGATATCGAGACATGTTATCCAACGTCCTTCAAACGTCAAACGTAGTGATGATCATGAGAGCTCTAATCAAGTACTCGGAATATACTAACGTGGGCTCAATTAAATATTTACTACTTAGATTTTGTGTCTAACCTAAAAATCACTAGATCAGTAATCCCAAAATACGCGAATGTTTTTATGATTAAACGCCAGTAACCTAAAGAATATCCCCATATTTTATTTAAGCACATTGTAAAAAAACATAGGTGCAAACGTCACTGCGTAAATATTTATGGCGCCATACAAAATTATTGATTTGTGAGTAAACTGGGATATCACCTAGGAGCAAAAACAGAAGCAAAAGGTTTCCTTAAGAGGTTACTCACTACCTGAGTTTTTTACACAAAAGTCTAATTCATGACATAGTGTAGCAACGTCAATAGATGCAGTCCCATGATAGGGGTCATCAATAATCGGTTAGTAAGTCATTAGTTTCGTCGGCATCCCGTTGGTTTGAAATGAGAGTTTTCCAAATTTTTCAGTGGATCCTCTCTACTAAACCGACTGATATAACGCCAAACATGCACATAAACATGAAAACTAAAGACATTCAGAAACTATGTACTGTGTCAGAAGTCTTCATTGAAAAGGACTATGCTCTCTGAGTACTTCATGTTGATTGATTTTTTAAGGAACGAGAATAACCTCTATAGAAAAATTAGAAAAACAAAAGCACCACTTCTAGGATGTTACCTACGACCGCGACGGGAATTGAATTGAAGAAAAAGGTGTGATTGAATTATTATTCTTTACATTTAGTCCTCATAGTGTTTTTCGAGTTAACAATAAAAAAAGCTATATTAATACTGTCAGAGTTTTGATCATTGTAAATTATTGCACAACAACTTAGTTTTGGATTAGGTACGCTAGAAGTATTACAAGCTCTAAAATTTTTAAGTGTGTTCAATTGAACATTTATTCAGTTTTAAGTTGGAGTTAATAATATCTTTTTAATAATAGTGAAGCCTCAAGCTAAACTAAAAACATATATTGATCATACACACGTAATTCTCAAAAAATAAAAGCTCTCGATAAAACTAACAAGATCAAAGAAATATTTAATAGCTATTGTAGACGAAGTGACTGTTTACCTATAAGGACTGTATCATTGGATAAACTTAGTTGATATACTACCGGAACACTGGTGGAACCTTGGAGGATTTCAGGTTTTTTACCATCAGTAATTCTATTATTATTTTAAATCTTTGCATTACATACTGAATTTTTGGTACATTTGTATTGATAATAAGTTGTGGTAACTTCGGCTAATGAGTTGACTATAGTTAACATAGTTTAAATGCCTTGTTTTGAATCACAATACCAATTACTAGAAATAAAGGTTATTTAAATAACAAATACCTTAAGCTGGAAAACCAACGAGATTATGTCTAAATTTTGAATTATATAACAATTCTGGGTGAAACACATCGAATAAATATAATCGACGTCCATCAGTGAATAAAACCAGTCTACTTAACTGAGTAGAACAACAAAAACGAAAAATAATTTAAAAATGTAGGTGAATCAATTGTCAGAAATTTACTTGACAGATGTATGCGAGCCAAATTCTGAATTATCATCCGAACGACCCAATTTCCATTCAACATTGTGAACATCTTGTATTACTGACATGTCTTAAATTTCTAAAATAATGAAATATTTTTTAGATTTAGAATCTTTATGCAAATCGGTTTATTTAACTTTGAGAAATAACTTTATTAATTATCTAGAATAGAAATATTAGACAGCGTAACACACTCATGCTGGATGTTCACATTTACCAGAACCTAACGAAAATATAAGACAGTTTAAAATGTCATATCCTTCTACACTAATCAGAACGATTTAATATAATGACTTAATACATATGTGTGCTTGGGTTTAAGCCACAGACTAAGTGTGAGGAAAAGTGACATTACTAGTCTAATTAAGTCAAAGTCAGAGTAGAGTTCTGGACTGTGACTTATGGGTCGAATCCCAAGTTATATACCACTGAATTATTACTCTTCATTTCACTAGATCGTTTGTAAAGATAACTGTGATAGTGTGAATTGACGTAAGGTGAAACGAACACTTTGTGAATCGGCCTAATAAGTAGGAATCAGTGATTCATGAAGAGCTGGTTGTTCGTTACTTTTTCCACGGAAAAATGAATTGAAAAGAAAGAAATCTGTTGAACAATTTTCCTAAATATATCAAGATTTTCTTATGCAGCATCAATCAACACAGCACGCACACGTAACTCTGAAGGTACAATATAAACTACTGTATCATAATTAACCAATGCTAGTAGACAGTAAGGCATTATTGGCCTACAAATACTTTTAAGTAGACAGATAACAGTTGCAATTACGGAATTCATTTATGCGCACCAAAAGTTTTCAAATAATAGATAAAGCATGATAAATAAGATGAATGCATAAGTATGGACTAAATCTAGATTAGAGCAACACGGTTGCTTCAAAATTTTGCAAGCTTGGAAAACATAACTGATTAAGCGACGATGACACACACGAGATGTAATTACTACATGTTTTGATAAGAGGGAAAAAAATTTCGTCATGTTAGGCTTTAAAACTTCAATAATTACAAAACAGCAGGGTGATAGGTCAATTCTATTGACGCTGGCCAGAGAGTAAGCAGATTTTGACGATGTTATTGTAGTGATATGAAAGCCATGAACTCTTAAGCGGCCCAAACGAGTATCATTATTCAATGTGACAGTGTGATGCATACTACTATTCACAATTTGATATATGAGTAGTATGCAACGAACTGCGGTCTAGAGGTTGATAGAAGAGAAAAGAAGTTTGAGGAATCTGGAATGCATGGCGAGATATCACAGTATATTGAAGATCAGAAGAGACGTGAAAGAAGACAGTCAATATCTTCCTTGGATGTTTGAAGATTACACGCACATATTTCATGAATGAACTGTCTGTCTAGACGAGAACGAAACAGTTGTTCAATACTACCTAATTTCTATTGGTTTTTTGGTTGATGTTTTGTGTGTTGAGCATTACCATTCAATATAAAAGATGGTTATAAGTAGACAGAAGCTGTATTGTCTAGAACACGTAAACTTCTAAAACTTACAATAACAGATAGGTAGTTTGGAGAATGGATAAACAAAATCAAATCACCTACTTTACTCAAGTATGGCTGTAAAAAACTGTTCTCCCAGAAGTTTTAAAAACTGTGCATCGTTAAAAAAATAAAGACACACTTAAGAATGATCGGCTTTCAAAATACCTTAAATATCATTGTCCCGAGCGATAAAGCCTTGAAGTTACAAACTCCTCAAGTTTATTATCGAATATCGTTTTCATATGAAAATTCTGGATTGCCAGCTTTGATTTACTTTGATCTCATCAGGATAATATAGGTATGATAAAAGTAGTTAATAAATCAATTTCATCGGTCATACAGATGAGTATCTTCATTAATCACTTTTGTGCACCAACTGACAACTTTAATTCAATTGTCATCAAAATAATACATTACATTCCTTTCATTCCGTTTGTGTGTATTTTTAATGAGTACAACTTTAAAGATTAGATTGTAACATTCCTTGTCATTAACAATTCAATCTTATAACTCGCTTGAAAAGTAATCAAAAACTTTTTCTTTCAATATATAGTTTAATTGTATTTTAAACAATGAAAGAATCGTAATCTAATCATAACATTCAGCAAATTTAATCTCTGACTTAAGATGGAGTTTTTCTTTATCATCTTCAGAATTATGCATACATTACTCTCCATAACTTGTCTGAAATCATGAATCGATCAATGCTCTGATGTGAAGCAGTGCTCATCGAAAACGGTGAGTGGATGAGGTTGCGCAAGACTGTGCATCGATCGAAGTTAGAAATTGATACCATTAGATACCGACTGATTAGTCCTGAAGTTAGGCGTTTGCGTGCTAGGCCGAAGGCCCCGGGATTCGGATCCTGCGAGTTGCAGATGTCGTGTATCCGCTTCTAGTAAGATTAATAAATTTATGTGATTCAAGATAGATGATCCCCATTTTTTGATGAATACTATAATTGTTCTGTTTTTGTTTTCAAACTTTTTAAACATTCATTACGTTAGTACTGTATCATCGGGTATTAATAGCTTGGCCAATGTCTGCTTGGAAGATTTAATTCGACCATTGTATCAACATTGGAAAAGTGTTGATATATCAGAACGAGGCAAATATCAATTGGCTTTATTTTTAGGTATGTTAATGCTTTGTTTTGAGAGAAATATTCTTGTTTTCATTAGATTTCATTTCCGAAATGTAGTTCTTTTCTAGTATGCAAAATATGATTATTTCTTGTTATATTGTGATCGATCGGTTAAATGCTTTTTCATAGTGTAGTTAATCAATAAACTAATATTGTTATATGATGCTTTATAATTGAGGGCTTGATCTATGTTATTTATTCAGTCGATTAGTGTTAATTGATAATTTTAGATATTCTACAGAACATCGTACTCTGTTTATACTATTCAACTTAGTGTTGACGTTTGTGACTGTCTTTTCAAACAACCTTAGTATTACTTACACTCATTACCCTTAATGGAGCATAGACCACCGACTAGCATTCTTCAAACAAGTCTGTCCCAAGCCTTTCTTTAATTCACTTAATAATTTGACATATCATGTAAATTCAACTGTATTCCCATAAAGGTTTAATGGTAGTAACACTATTCGGTTTTCAATCATGTTGATTACTTACTGTGAGTACTGTTGTAGTGAATGAGAACACAGGTGGAGGCAACCGAATTGTATTTAACGAAAATTACAGAGTTACTCAGTAAAATCGGAAAACCATATCGTAAATCGTTCATTTGCAAAGGATCAGTTCATCCTATGGAACTGGACTGTTCCTGTTGCCAAACATCAATCCATTGTCACTCTTCATGCGTTTCATACAAATTCCATTGTTTTCTGACTCTTCCTTTCTTGATCTTCCCCCCATATTATGCTACCAGACTTTACGTTGACACTCACGCTATATACTACTTATAAGTAGTTCGCAACACAGCACCACACTCGTCCCCCCTTTTAATAAGCTGTCGTCGCAGTCTTTCTGATCTCCGTACAGCCGTCTTCTTCATCAGTGTTTGTGGCTCGCCCTCTTGGCGCACTTGGAACCACCTTTGGAGTTCACTGGCCTTCACGCGTTTCTGTTTGTTTCCTTTCTGGATCGTATACACTGCGCCGCGCCTCTCGGTGACGACGTACGGTCCCTCCCACTTCGGGATCAGCTTACCTGACCCTGGCCCTCTTCCTGTGGTATATTTCCGTTCTCTACACTTCACCTGATCTCCCACTTCAAACAATCTCCAGTTCTTTCTCTCCTGTTCTGACTTTTCCATGTCTGATGTTTGTTTCTCTCTCACATTCCTGATTGCTTGTCTCCGCTCTGTTCTCAATCTTGTTGTATTCCATCTCTGTTGTTGCGGCCAGGTTTTATCATGCGTTGGTAGTCTCGGCCGTCTGCCGTACATCAGCTGGAACGGTGACTTCCTGGTTGTTCCCTGTGCCGAGGCACGATGTGCCAGCAAGATTAATGGTAATTCTTTCTCCCAGTCACCCCCTTTAGATGCTAGCCATTCCTTTAGCGTTCGGTTATTCCTTTCCGTTAACCCATTCGTCTGTGGATGATACGGCGTTGTTCGTACTCTCTTGATACCTAACTGCTTTAGACGGGACTTGAACTCATCACTCTCGAAACAGGGACCTTGATCGGTTAATATTATCTTTGGTATCCCATGGTCCGCCACAATGTGCCGCATTACCGCTTCCGTCACCGTCCTTGCACGTTGGTCCGCCATCGGCACGGCATTTACCCATCGTGTGGCATGCTCAGTCATCACCAGCAGGTACTGGTTACCACTTGTCGTCTGCGGGAACGGTCCCATAATATCTACTGACCACAAATCACCAACTGCTGTTACTGGAATTGACTGCAATGGCGGTCGTATGCATCGATCTCCTTTCATTAGTTGACATCGCTGGCACGCTAATACATATCGTGCAACATCGTCTCTCATACCTGGCCAGTACGCACTTTGTCGCAGCAAATCAGTTGTCCGTGCAATACCTGTATGCGCTACCTGGTGACATTCACGAATCATCTCCTGGCGCAGATCTTTTGGGATTATTGCTACCCGATTCTCGTCATCATCCCGCCAGGTCAAGGCTCCGTATCCGTTCACTCTCAGTCTCTCCTTCTGCCTCAGCAACACTGTTAATTCTTTATCTGTTCCACTCTTGTCAACATCTTCTCCCTCTTTTATCACTCTGATTACCTCCCGAAGGTTAGGGTCGGCTTTCTGATGCCGGACGAGTTCTAGGGGATCTCCCTCTAGGCCGTTAACTGCACACGCTATCTCTGGAAGTTCGGCTTCGGTGTCCGGTCTTGACAAATAATCTGCCATTACATTTTCCTCCCCTGGCACATGCCCGATACTAAAATCATACTCCTGCAGACGTAGCATCCATCGAGCCAACTTCCCCCGAGGGTCTTTTGCTGTTTTCAACCATTGTAGGGGCTTATGATCCGTCTCGATGTGAAATCGTCTACCTAAAAGGTACGGTCTCCATTTCTCTACTGCCCACACGATTGCTAGGCATTCCTTCTCGATCGTTGAATACTTCTGTTCGGTGGGTGTGAGAACGCGACTTGCGTATTCCACCACTCTATCAGCCTGACTCAATACCGCACCTATACCATGATCACTTGCATCTGTGGCCACTGTAAACAGTTTACCGGGTTCAGGCAGTCGCAGCGTCATCTGACGATCGTCTAGCATGTTTTTGATTCGGTTGAACGTTTGTTCGGCAGCCTCAGTCCATGTAAACTTGGTGTTGCTCAGCAACTTATATAAGGGCGCTGCTATTTCGTTGAAATTCTTGACAAACCGACTATAGAACGCAGCTCTTCCCAGGAACTGTCTCAACTTCCTTTTCGAATTAGGTACTGCAATATTTTTTATGGTAAGAATTTTCTCTGGTAATGGCTTTATTTCTCCGTTTCCCACTTTATGTCCCAACAATATGACGCTGTTTTTCGCTATCTGCGACTTTTCCTTATTAATTCGAAGCCCAAATTCGTCAATTCGCTTTAAGACCGCTTCCACATGCTTGACGTGATCTGTTTCCGTCAGGCTGTATACAACTACATCGTCGCCATATACCTCAACATTATCTAGATTCTTAAGCAGCAGCGTCATCAATCTTCTGAACGTGAACGGTGCACCAGCCAACCCGAACGGCATTCGTTTAAATTGATACTGTTTATCCCGTATAGTAAATGCTGTCTTGTTGCGATCGCTATCTTTTATAGGTAGTTGCCAATAACCTGACCGTAGATCCAGCACTGTAAACACCGTGGCATTCTGTAATCGATCTAATGTTTCTACTACTGTTGGCATTGCGCACGGTTTCAGGTCTGTTATATTATTCAGTTCTCTAAAGTCGACGCAAAATCTATACTTTCCATTGGGTTTCTTTACCAAGAGTACCGGTGAGCTATACGGGCTGTCTGCTTCCTCAATTATACCTTCCTTCAACATTTCCTGGACCTGTCGATTTACCTCGGCCTCTAAATGCACTGGGACACGACGTGTTGTAAATATATTTACTCGGTCGTTCTTTATAGGAATTTCATGCTTTACTTTGTCACAAAATCCATACGGCTCCCCATCTCCAGTGAACAGTTTCGCATACTTTGCGCATAACTCGTTAACGTTAGGTTTCTTGGTCGAGACGTCCGTTGCCATCCTTATTAAAAAAAAAAAAAAAAAAAAAAAAAAAAAAAAAAAAAAAAAAAAAAAAAAAAAAAAAAAAAAAAAAAAAAAAAAAAAAAAAAAAAAAAAAAAAAAAAAAAAAAAAAAAAAAAAAAAAAAAAAAAAAAAAAAAAAAAAAAAAAAAAAAAAAAAAAAAAAAAAAAAAAAAAAAAAAAAAAAAAAAAAAAAAAAAAAAAAAAAAAAAAAAAAAAAAAAAAAAAAAAAAAAAAAAAAAAAAAAAAAAAAAAAAAAAAAAAAAAAAAAAAAAAAAAAAAAAAAAAAAAAAAAAAAAAAAAAAAAAAAAAAAAAAAAAAAAAAAAAAAAAAAAAAAAAAAAAAAAAAAAAAAAAAAAAAAAAAAAAAAAAAAAAAAAAAAATCCCAATTCCTAGGGTGGAAAGAAAACACGTTATAATGTTTAAAATATCGTCGTCGTTGTCTTCTTGGACAGTTTATCTTCCAATGTCCTGCCTCTCCACAAGCGTAACATTTATCGTTCCTTTTATGATTTACTCGTAATGCTGCTATCTCACGCTCTAACTCCTCAATCTTCTTCTCGAAAGTATTTATCTCCTGCTTTTCGCTCCCGACCGGAGCTACTGTCCGTGTCATCAGCTGACGAGTCACCTTCGCCAGTTCACCGATGTCCATAGGTTGTGCTGCATTTACTAATCTCAGCTGCTGGGACACAGCGGCAGGCACACTCTCAATAAATTGCGACGCCAACAATTGTGCCTCCGACTCCTCATCGATATTCGGCAACGCACGGCGCAGCAACCTTTTGAGTTCCACAGCGAGCACCAGCGGGTCACCATCAGCCGACAGCCTCGCCAACCGGAACTTCCGCAACGCCTCCTCCCTGTCCACCGGGCTGTCGAACTCGGTCATCAGCCGCTCAACGACCGCCTCCCATGGCGTCTTCCCGCCAGCACCGTCCAAGCTGTCATATACGGCCTTCGCCCTTCCTCTCAGCAGCGTTCCCAGCAACAACCAACTTCGCCTTCGGTTCCTTCACCCCCACCAGCTCCGCCACGGCCTCAAACTCCTTCAGGAAGCCCCGCACATCCCCGTCTTCAAACTCCTTCGGCCATGGAACCTTCATCCTTTGCGTAGGCAGCGACACCAAATGTAGTGAATGAGAACACAGGTGGAGGCAACCGAATTGTATTTAACGAAAATTACAGAGTTACTCAGTAAAATCGGAAAACCATATCGTAAATCGTTCATTTGCAAAGGATCAGTTCATCCTATGGAACTGGACTGTTCCTGTTGCCAAACATCAATCCATTGTCACTCTTCATGCGTTTCATACAAATTCCATTGTTTTCTGACTCTTCCTTTCTTGATCTTCCCCCCATATTATGCTACCAGACTTTACGTTGACACTCACGCTATATACTACTTATAAGTAGTTCGCACCACAGCACCACACTGTTATTAT